GACATGGTGGGGCAGGGAGGTTGAGTTGGGGGATGAACAGAAGAGAGCAAGATAAGAGATACTATAATAAAGGGAGACATTATAAGTTCAAAGAGAAATCAGGCACTAGGGAAATGTCTGGAGAACTACAAAGATGACACCAACTAGCAATCTAAGCAGCAGAGGAGAGGCTACCTTAAATGCCTTCCTCTGATAATGAGATTGATGGCTACCTTATATGCCATCCTATAGCCTTCATCCAGCAGCTGGGGGAAGTAAAAGCAGACACCCACAGCTAAACCTTGAACTGAACTGAAATCCAGTTGCAGAGAAGGAGTGATGAGCAAAGGGGTCCATACCAGGCTGGTGAAACCCACAGAAACAGCTGACCTGAACAAGGGGGAGCTCATGAACCCCAGACTGATAGCTGGGAAACCAGCATGGGACTGATCCAGACCCCCTGAATGTGGGTGTCAGTGAGGAGACCTCGGAAATCTGTGAGGCCCTTGTAGTGGATCAGTACTTATCCCTAACATAGGAATGGACTTTGGGAGCCCATCCCACATGGAGGGATACTTCCCTGAGCCTAGACACAAGGAGGTGGGCCTAGGCCTTATCCCAAAGGATATGACAGACTCTTAAGACCCCCTATGGAAGACCTCACCCTCCCTGGGGAGCAGAAAGTGTATGGGATGGGTAGGATGTTAGTTGGGGTTGGGGGCAGGGGAGGAGGGGAGAGAGAGTGACCTGGGATTGACATGTAAAATAATCTTCTTTCTAATTAAGATAAAAAATTATTTAAAAAAAAGCCTCGAGAGAAAAAAACAACAACAACAACAACAAAAAAAAAAATAGGCCCCAACACTTCTTCCTTTATTTGTAGTAGATTTGGTTTTGTTCTGCTTGTTGTTATTTGAGACAAGGGCTCATTCTGTAATCCTTACTGTCCCAGAACTTTCCCTGTAGACCAGGCTGGCTTCGAACTCAGAGAGATCAGCCTGCCTCTTTGAACACCATCACAACCAGCTGTTTCTTTTATTTTTGAGACAAGGTTTTGGTATATAGGAAAAAAGCTGGCCTCGTATTCATGATCAGCTCTGTGCTTGAGCTTTTAGCTAAGCAGGCTTGTGCCCCATGCCTGGTTTTAGACCCCACTTAAAGATCTGCTACCTCCCAGTAGTGCCGTAGGCTGGCAGCCAATCTTTTAACACATGGTCCTTTGGGAACAATAAAGATTCAAACTGTAGCAATTATTTTTCTTTACTTCTCCCAGAAAACTAGTATTTATGTCCTCTTTCATGATATCAAAGAGCTAATATTAAATTGCTATTTTCTTGTTTCCTTTAATGTTTCCTTAGAAACTCATAGCTACCATAAAGCCTGCTGGATAATATATTTCTTTGGGATCTACCAAGTCTAGAAATGTTACTCCATTTTTTTCAAAGAGACTGGATGAAAATGCTCACCTGGAAACAATGCAATGGCAGGAAAAGAAACCTAAGTAGATTATCAGATTGCCCAACATGATCACACAGCCTTTTAAAGCATTGATTAGCTAAGGCCCCTAAGATTATGTTCATTGCTGTCTCAGATGTGTGAATTAGTTACACTGTTGAGTATTTTGATGGATATTACATCAGTATTACATATTTGCTGACATGATCACTATATGGTATAGTACTTAGAAAGAGGCATGCTCTGCAGTAACATGTATGTTGACACCTTCACAGCCAGCCAGCTCATCTCCAAATTTTAATTGCCAGTCAGATGGATCTTACTAACCCTTTATTGTGTAAGCACTGAAAAATTGTCATGGTGGGAGTGACAGAAAGTTAGTTACAATTTAGGTACTCAGTCAGCCACATGTGAAGGAAGAATGTGAATGTGATGGTGGTGCTTGTCTTAACCCCAGCTCTGGGGAAGCAGAGCAGAAGGATCTATGCATTCGTAGCCAGCATGATCTGCAGAGCAAGTTCCAGCCAAAGCTGTGTAGAGAACATGTCTCAAAGATGAACTACTTAATTTTAAAAATAAAGTATATATTTACTATTGTGAAAGGAATCTTCTGTGGCCAAGTTGAATACTGAGTAGCTTGAGCCCTGCAGTCACAGAGGGGCATTTCTGTGGCAGCATGATGGAGACTGGGAACCCGGTAGGATAAAAGGTGCAGGTGAATCTGTTCAACTTGAAGCAAGGATGGAATATTGAAGGGGAGCTGATAGGACGTTGACCATTGTGTGGTCAAAGTTTAGAAATGGAGTTGGGGCTTCCATGGCAAAGGTTTGGGCATTACTGGAGAGTAGTATCATTGTGTCTATTCCTAGTTACTGTAAAATATAATAGAAAATTATCCCTGTTCTCATGGATTTTGTTCTCTGAGATTATGCCTTAGTCTTTGGCGGCTGATAGAACAGGTACCATAGACACATAGGTTTCTAGAGACTTGGAGGACTGAGGTGATGACTTATAGATGGCTCTTTCTTGCTGCATCCTTACCCAGTAGGAAGAGGAAGAGGAAGGGGTCTCAGGCCTCTTTGAGAAAGGCACTAATCCATTCATGAGGACTTGGAACCAAACACTACCAGAGGCACCTCTACCCTGCTGTCTCCTTGGGGTGAGGATTTCAAAATGAGTTTAAGGGGGACACAGCATTCAGGCCATAGCAGCATGACTGTCATCGATTAGATTTCAGAGTGAGCTGTAGTCAGTGAGGTCTAAAAGTTTATATAGAAACTGGTATTTTATCCTTCTACGTACTGGTTCAAAATTATGAGACACTATCACACTATTAATGTAAACATTATGAGAGTTAGGTCTGTGAGAGAACTTTTGGGGGTTGAATGGTTGGATAGCTTTCACACACACACACACACACACACACTTCTTTTTTTAATAGTGAAAAAAACGAAAGGAGACTAGGACCTGTCC